TGGTACGCACTTTGCTCCTGGACATGCAGTCACTACGCTACTCACAATCCATGGAGAGGCACTGGAAGTTTTGGAGCATTTTACGTATCTTGGAAGTTGTGTTGGTTCTGACTAGTGTGACAGATGGGGTCAATGCACGAATCTGCAAGACTCGGGTCGCGTTTGCCAATTTGAGACACCCATGGTGTCAGAGTGGTTTATCCCTGTATCTCAAGGGACGTTTTATCAAGCTACAGCGCGGGATGTTTTGTTGTGTGGCTGTAAGACTTGGCCTATTCGAGCAGCGGAACTGAGACGTCTTTAGGTGTTCGACAATCGTTGTCTCAGAACCATAGCTCGCGTGGGTTGGTGTCGGCGATCCGTAACGAGGCAGTTAGAAAGCGCGTTTTCGGTTGTGTAACGGGTACTTCCATTGAAGAATGTGTCCAGCACCAGAGGCTGCGTTGGCTGGGGCATGTGTTACGTATGCCGAACCATCGTTTGCCCAATTCGGAGTGGCGTAAACAGAGAGGTGGCCAACCCTTGACTTGCAGAGGAGTATGAAGGAGATCACGAAACGCTTGGGTGCTGTCGGTGCTACTCGCCTTCCAGGATGGGGACCGCGTGATCCTCACTGTGCCTGGTTGGAAACACTACAAGATATGGCTGCCAACCGATGTCAGTGGCGTTCTTGTTGTCAGTTTCTGTCCGGATTGCCTGAGTGAATGTCTGGAGGTTGTGTTAAGCTAGCACTAAGTCCCTCCCCCATCCACCTTTATTCTTTTCACAATAAGGCTTTCAAATAAGTCATGGTTGTACGGCATTGAAGCATCGGTGTTGAACACTGATGTCATGCTGTCGATGTCGAGACCCCGTACTTCTAACAATCGTTCTACGGGTAAAGTGCGTTAGGACTGTGAAGGCAGTAAGGTTTTTCCCCCAGGCGACCAGCATATCCATATTTATGGAAGCAGCGATACTTGCCTTCCTGCGAGGAAGGACGGGTTAGAAAAGGTCGATCTTAAAATCCACGCACCCTGATCACCCTGCGATTGACCGTGACCGCCAGCGCATTGTTCAATATGGTCAAAGTACTTTTGAAACCAAAGAGTCTGGTGCTTCTCAAAAGGCACATGCTGTGCACAGCCGCATCAGGAATTAGAGTGATGTCTTATCCCTGCGCCCCCGGGTTATGCTAACTCCCTGAAGCCTAGCAGGTCAGATTATTGAGTCATCCGCATCGGGCAGGGTCCCCAAAGAAAATCCCACTGTCTGTTGCCTTGCCGGTCAGACTTTTCAGTCAGGTTAGAGTCAAGGTCCCCAAACAAGACCCCACATCACACCACTGCCTTGTGGGTCAGACTTTTGAGTCAAAGGCCCAAGGTGAGGTACCTCAACCAAACCCTCATCGGCCTGGGCAACTGGAAAGTACCATTTGCCCGCACAGTTATGTGTCCACCGATATCATTCCCCAACCCCTTCCCACCACACAAGCAAACGTCGCTGGATCATTTGACTGTCAGTTATCTGACCGAAGGGCTTATAAACAATGGACAGAATAACACTTTTCTATGTCCTTACTCTATGTCGAATTGGCAAACAGGCAATGCTTGTTGAAACCTTACACTCCCTTAAAGTTGATGTATGCTGTCTCCGAATCATGCATACAAGACCCGAGCGTGGTTATGCATCTCAGAAAGCCAAGAATGAACGCATCTCTTTCACGTTTCTCCCTCCGTGTATCTGGTAACCAAGAAGCGATGAATCATGGAATATATGGCATGGGAGTTGCACTCAGCCCCAGAGCTGAACAGGCCTTGCTGAATCGGATCTCAATGAATAGTCGCCTTTGCGCTGTCCGGTTATCCAACTCAATTAAGCTCACTGTCTCTCGGCATAAAAAGCGGTGCCTGTTGCAGTGTTGGCTTATGCCCCAAGAGACTGCAGTTCTGATACTGAGAAGGGTACTTTTTGTCGAGAGCCATCCGGGCTCATTCGTCAAGGAAAATGCACTGACATCGTGATCCTTACAGGCGATACGAATGCTCAAGTAGGTCGTTTGAGTTTCTTGGAATCACATTTAGGCGGTCGATTTGGAGTCGATGCTCGCCGCACAGACGACGGAGATAGACTCCTTCAGCTGTGCGATGATCATGAATTGTTTCTGGCAAGTACAAACTTTCAACTTAACTGTTTGTACCGCGTAACCTGGCGGTCACCAACTGCAAATGAACCGTGAACCCAGTTGAACCACGTGGCCACCGGCGGACAGCCACAATTCAAGACTGTCGTTTCTTCTGGGGCAAACCACTTAATTCCGATCACGCCATCGTGCGTGCACGCTTGACAGTTCGCTTCCCTTCAGTTCCTCGCAAATCAGCAAGTAGCATGCCCACCTACTGTCTTCGAAGAACGGCAAAGTCATCCAGGAGCATGCCAATCCATTATCTTCGAAGAACTACCAACAGTATCGATGTGAGCTAGTCCAACAACTCTTCGCAGCAGACCAATACTGTTGTGACAGTGGGCGTGTGACTGAAGCGCGACAAAATGTGGAAGGAGCTGTGTTGACAGCATTCAGTGCTGTCTGTCCGACTTCCCCAATTCGACTACAAGACCACTGGATGTCGTCGAGATCGCCATACATGATTGAAGCTAGAAAATCCATACCATCAGGCAACGAGTACGACAGCGCACGCAAATCCCTCAAACGCCAAATAGTGAGGAGTACAAGGAAAGAATGAGAGCTCTGGTGGACATCGAAAGCTCGGGTAGAGTTTATAATGCTGCGGTGCGCTCCATATTACTGTATGGATCGGAAACCTGGTCGGTGCTCGCCGAGAACATCAAAAGACTATCATTGTTTAACCTGAGCCTGGTGGAAACAATGTTGAATTATGTCGGATGACATTCCGAAGAACTAACTCACTCACGATAGATGAACTGATCACTTTACATAGGTTGCGCTGACTGGGCCACGTGCTACGTATGCCATTTGACCGACTTCCTCGAACAGTTCTTTTTGCACAACCACGTGAAGGATGGAAACTAGCTAGGGGGGTCAAACAGTGACTCGGCAGCGAAGTACAAAAGTCATCACCAGCAAACTCAGCTGCGCTGATCAGTGCCATCTCTCTGGATGGGGACCCCGATAGGGACCACATCAATAATTAGAGGCAGTGTCAGTCACGCCCTCGATGCTCGTGCATCCAACTACTGCCTTCAATGCATAGCTTCCTTCTCAACCTCTCCAATTTAAAGTCCAGTGATAACCCTATTTTTAAGCGGAAATTACACCGCCTCCAATGCACAGCTACCTAACCCACCTCCCCAAATCATCGGTGGACGAAACTGTGGCAGCTACAACAAGTACGCGGTTCTTAAAGCTGATAAAGGTGATGGGATGATGAGCCGCAGCAGCCTCCGGATCATCAGTTGTGTGCAGCCGAAGGAAAGTGGAGAGTGATGGGCGGTTAGCTCAGCCACTGTGCTTGCATCTTGAATCCTTGTTTCTCATACAGAGCATACATCAATGCCAAGCGAGTCCAGTGTGAAAGAGCTTACTTCAGAGTGCGGGCATTGAAGAGGATCAAGTAGACTGGGCCTCGACGCCGGTGGACGCGCAGATGTTGCTTGCGAAACCTTTACAGAATGAGCGGAGTCATCAGTCCTAAGTGCTAGACCTACAATGAGAGAGCTACAAATGGGGTAAGGAGAGGGTGGAGAAAAAGTGTGGGAGAAAGAAAGATGGAAGGCGTCAGCAGCAGCCTGATTTCGCTTACCCGTCTGATGGCACCACGCGACGGCCGATGTCGTATAGCTTAACACCCTCTTGATTCCTAGCTGCCATGCCACCCGACGGCTGATGTGGCATGAATTTGTTTGTATATGCATAATTCAAGGTTATATATGGGCTTAGATACCTCTAGGGTGCCAAGAATTGGACAAGATAACTATTAGGATCCTCAACCGAAGACTTTGGGTGAATAGCCGTACAACAAGGCAGCAGTGCTCCGCTGGAAATGCAAGTACAGTACCATTTTTACCGAATACGCCTCTCGACTTCCCCTGTCTAGGCTTGGTCAACCTGGCAGTATCTCAACCTTCGTGCAATCTTCGGGTGGCATGGCAGTTATGCACTGAACGGGTGCTACAACTGAACGAATACGTCGCCACACATTTCCAACCCCAACCTGGAGGACCAGGGGACTATGTTCGTCAGACCTCTAACCATTGACCAATCTGGTAAGAGAGACTCTGAGTGTCTCGCGGACATTCCCGCAGTATAGCTCAATGGGTTGCCGAGGTACAAGCCGTCACACCACGGTACGTTCTAGTCTCGTGACGGAAGTCTCTTCATAACTCCTAATGCGACTGAGCATAATAAGTGGCTTTTGAGCAGCACCAGACTCTGGTTTTAAAACCATTTCGACCGTATTGAACAGTGCACCGATGGTCATGGTCAACTGTTGGGCAATTGAAGTGTGCGGTCTTGAGGACTGATCTTTCCCGACCTCCCCTTCCTTCGGGGAAGGCAGCGTCGCTGTTTCCATGAATATGGCAATGTTGGTCACGGTGGAGAAACACCTTACTGCCTTTCATCGCAAATGACAGTATGACTCTACCTCGGAGCCACCTCATGGTATGGTTATTCGAATTACGGGTGCTCTTGGTCTGAGTATCCCCCTTCGGCCTTCCTCTCATTGTTGCCCCTGTTTGGCCTCCTTGGCATGGTTGCTCCTTGTGGAACGAAGTACCATCGACTGTGACCGACCACCACGTCAAGGTAGTGTTGCGTACGACGAGGGTCGGAGTGCAACGACAATCAGAATGACAATGGAAAAGACTGACGGCCCGAAAGCTAGGCTTTATTCATCCAAAACTTTGACACTGAGAGCTGGAAACGGAAGAAAGTGATTTAGCAACAAATGATGAAACGTTTGAAAAACAGAGCAAATACATAACATTCACCCCTCGCAGAGATGAAAGTTCTCAAGAGTTTGATTTATAATTGAATAATATCAGGCCTCTCTGTTGCGCAGGACATACGGCCGTGTCCGCTGTTGTTGTATAACCAATGGGTGTTCAGAAGAATTCGACATTTCACTTTCCGAAGCAGAGTCAGATAGTTCCGGCTTAATAAATGAATCAGCGTTGGACTCCGGTTGCTGCTGTTCGGATGCTGGAGCACATCCGAAATCT